ATGAGCTTTCTTTCCTTTTTCTCACTAATAACTTCTGTAGAGATTATTGGCTAAATAGAAAAGCAATCACTTATTATACCAATGAAATAACTTTTGTAACTGAAGGTACAAGAGTGAAGGTAGATAAACGAAGTGTTCTATCTGATGGTGTTAGCATTGTTGCAGCTCAACGAAGAGGTATAGTAGTTATGAGTCTTCTTTCCTTTTTCTCACGAATAACTTCTGTAGAGATTGTTGGGTAAATAGAAAGGCAGTCATTTATACCTATGGAATAACTTTCTTTTTAAAAAAAACAGTGTATGAATATAACTCATTTATGGCCAGGAACACAGCTTTCAATATCCAAAATTTTTTGGAATGCAATAATGTCCATCAAATGAGTGTTTTTTCCTTTGATTTTTTTTTTTTTTCCTATCAGCCTTTTGTTCTTAATTCTTATTAGTAGAATTGAAGCAAAATATTTTTTTTTCAACAGCAACGAAAATATATGATTTAAAATTGATGGATGCAACTGCCTGTGAGATTATACATTTTATATGTCGAAAATTATCAGCTTTGGATGAGGATGAATTTGTGCAAAGTGGAGCAGTGGAAGCAACCTTTCAAGCTATGAAGAATGGCATCCCTCAGATTGCAATTGAAATTGCAAAAGTTTATACAAATATATTATGGAACTGTACTGATCGTGAAGATTCAAGGAACATGTTTGCATGTGCTATAGCACATCGTCAAGAGGAAGTGGCACAATTTCTTTATGAATTTAATGCAAGAATTGGTACAAATATAGTTTTAACCGACGATTGAGATGGAAACAGTTTATTACATTTAGCAGCAAAGTTAGCTCCTCATTCTGACCTTGATCACATCTCAGGTGCAGCTCGGTTGCAAAGTGAGTTACGCTGGTTCAATGTAAGCATCTCATACTTTTATATGTTCTGTCAATTAATAAATTTTATATTTTGATGTCACATGTGGCTCCATTAATTCTGTATAGTAATAATGAGTCTCTCACCAAACATCTAGAATAATATTTTGAAATTAATGTAGGCAGTGAAAGGCATTGTTCCACAGTTCTACAACTATTTTAAAAATAATGAAGGTTATACTCCTTCCCAAGTGTTTGTTAACGAACACGAGAAGTTGCTAAAAGAAGCGGAAGAATGGGTGAAGAAAACAGCAGAATCTTCTACAGTCGTGGGTACTCTAATCATTACAATTATGTTTGCTGTGGCTTTCACTGTTCCTGGTGGGAATGATCAAAATACAGGCTTCCCTATATTTTTGAACAAAACAACACTCTTCTACAGTATCTTCTCCAACCGTGCCATTCATGATATTTGTAGCATCAGATGCAATTTCTCTTTTTGCTGCATCTAGTTCGGTGCTAATGTTTTTGGGGATTCTTGCTTCACGTTATGCTTATGAAGATTTCTTTAAATCTTTACCCGTGAAGTTAATTATTGGGATCTCTTCACTCTTCATCTCTATTGCAGCAATGATGGTAGCATTTTGTGTTGCTCTTTTCATTATGCTACAAGGTCACTTGTGGATAGTCATACCAGTAACTTTGCTTGCTGGTATTCCGATCATTATCTTTGTACTGTTACTGTCTCCTTTTCTTGTTGAGCTTTATGCTATGACTTTTGGACCAGGCATCTTTGATAGGAAAAAGAACAGCTTAGGAAAGGAAGAGATGGAGTCACTACAACAATAGGTGCTGGCTCTCTAAACTAGATTCCAATCGAAAAAGGCCTTAGCTCCAATAACTCAAAGATACCTGTTCTGTCATATTAAGTCTAGTAATTATACGAGTGTGCTCTATGTGTATTGTAACTGCAAGAAACATTTGGTGGATGTGTATTCTTTGAAGATTTAAT